ATTTGAAAGTATAATATGAGTTCAAAAATTAGCAATGGAAATGGCTCATCCTAGGATAATTATTCTTAGATGTCTGCATTAAAAGTGTTCTCAGGCTTTAGCAACTCCTATGTGGATACTTGTTTTTATTCCTTTCCCGTTTTCTATTCCAGAAGAGGATGGAAGGGCTTCAGAGGGGCAGATACGGAACGATGGCTGAAGGTAAGGAAGCCTGGATGTTCTCAGGAGCTCCAGGCACCCGGGACAGTTGCCGTTCTCTCTCCATCAACCCCCACTTCAAACACAGGGATAGAAACCCTGTTATTTTAAAGTGAAGAAGAGGGGCATCTGGGTGGCTCAGTCAGTTGAGCGTCTGACTCTTGGTTTCAGCTCGGGTCATGATCCCAGGGTCCTGGGATCGAGCCCCGTGTCATGCTCCCTGCTCAGTATGGAGTCTCCTTCATATTCTCTCTCTGTCTCCTTCTACCCCTCATACTCATGCTATTTCTCTCCCTCTCTCTCAAATAAACAAATAAAATCTTTAAAAAAAATAAAAATTAAAAAAAAAGGGAAGAAGAAAGAGGCAAAAATCACTTGTTCTCTACCTTCCCTGTGGTCATCACTCCATCCACTGTCACCCACACATGATTGGTGAGAAATGTGGAAGTGAAACTCCCAAGTCAGAGTCTGAAGGATTTGGAACCAGATTGTGAAAACAATTTCTCTTTCCCGGTCTGCTCCCAACTGGAAAGAGGAAAAGTTCCCGTAGAGATTTAGGAATCATGCTTGTTACCAATACTTAAGGAAAGGAAGAACCAACACAGTAGAAGGATAAAGTAAGAGATTTTAGGAGGCTGAAATGAACTTAATTCATTTGAACTCATAAGAACTCTAAAAGTCCCGGGGTTCTCACCCGCCTTCACCCCTTGAAGATTTTACTCTTGGCTCAGTGTCACCCTCCCCAACACCATTCTGTAGTCATGTCCTGCGATTCGGTCGGCCAGATCTCTCCAACCCCCGTGCTTCTAATGCCCCTCACTCTTCACCAGCTTCCCATCCAGGGGCATCTCCCAGACTTTGTCCTTGACATTCACGATCTTCTGTCACCTCAGTTTCAAAGATCCAAGTGCCCACCCCAAGAGCAGAGACCCAGGACATTCAGCTGGTCCTTGGTGGGAGGTCACTGCACCTCTGACCTCTGAGATGTCCTTTTCCCCTGAGGTTCAGATGCATGTGTTGAGCGCTGCTGTGGGAGTATGATGGGGATGTGGGGGTGGAAAAGAGGGGATAATATTTTCTCCTTTGTGGCTTCTCGTGCCCTGCCTCCTTCTAAACTTATATTTATTTAGCATGAAATTGGCCAAAGCACCATCTGTAGAAAAGCATGGGGACCACAGTCCTGTTCCCCAAAAAGCCCTGTTTTCCCTGCTCTAGAGGAAGTGCTTGGAGATCCTAGGGCGCTTCCTCCCTGGGCTGTGGGTCCGAGCATGAGCTTCTAACGTAGGCTTTCTATGATCCACGGGCATCCTAAAGTTGTATACAAACTTTCGTATGTATTTAGATAGGATTGATTTTGGGGAGGGAGGTTCACGAGTTTCATGAGATATCATGAAGGTCCAAGACCTGAAAACCTTAAGAATCACTAACTTAGGGAGACACAAAAAATTGTTTTTTCTAGGCAGAGAGGAAGACAACTGGTTTGCAACATCCACCTCACTGAGGATCGTCCTGGTGGGCAAGACAGGCACTGGGAAAAGTGCCACAGGGAACAGCATTCTCCGCCAGCCAGTGTTTGAGTCCAGGCTGGGGAGCCAGCCTGTGACCAAAACGTGCCAGGGCGAGACAGGGACCTGGAACGGAAGGAACATCCTGGTGGTTGACACGCCCTCCATCTTTGAGGCAGAGGCTCAGACCCAAGAGATGTACAAGGACATCGGGGACTGCTACCTGCTCTCTGCCCCCGGGCCCCATGTAGTGCTGCTGGTGACCCAGCTGGGGCGCTTCACTGCCCAGGACACGGTGGCCGTGAGGAGGGTGAAGGAGGTCTTCGGGGCAGGAGTCATGAAGCACGTGGTGGTCCTCTTCACCCACAAGGAGGACTTGGACGGCGAGTCCTTGCACGATTACATCACACACACGGACAACCAGAGCCTGAGGAGCCTGGTGGGGGAGTGTGGGAGGAGGTACTGTGGCTTCAACAACTCGGCCACCGGGGAGGAGCAGAAGGCGCAGCTGGTCGAGCTGATGGCTGTGGTGGGGAGGCTGGAGAGGGAGAACGAGGGCGCCTTCCACAGCAATGACCTCTTCTTTGAAGCCCAGAGGCTGCGGCAAAGGGGGGGCGGCGCCTGCGGGGAAGGGCACAGACGTTACCTGGACAGGGTGCGGGCGCAGCTGGGAAAGCAAAGACGACACCTGACAGACCCCAGGAGCAAGTGGGCCTGCGGGGCGCTCCTCAGAATCACAAGATGGATGTTTTCTTGCAGTGGGATAGCTGTTGTCCTCAGTATATGCATTTTGATTTTTCTTGCCGCTTTAATTAACTTGAGTATTACTCATGGACACTGAGCATTTTCAGTGATTTCTGCAATCAGCTGACTTATGTTTTCAGAGTCGCCATCTCTGTGTCAGATTCTTTGTTTTTTACATGATTTCACGTTCTTTTGCTCTTCGTCACATCAGACATACTGTCCATTTTCTTCAAGTGCTCTTAGGTCAATAAAATCCAAAGGAAAAATTATTTTTCTGTTTTTGTTTTGTTAAAAATTGTGATGGTACATGAGAAACTAACTGTCTGGAAATGTTTGGGGACGTGCTGGGAGGCACGTGGTGGGTGGTGAAGCTGTGGGGATGTCCCACCTCTGGTCCCACATTTGTGCCGTCAGGCTCTTGATGGGAGACAGGTGTTTTATGAAAAGCCGGTGGCAGATTCCCTATTTTATTCAGAAACATACCTGATTTCATCGGAGTTAGTCATAAGAGCTGATGCCCACCCCCAACCCCATCCCTGGGAGAGAGAATGATGAGGATGGAGGTGGGGGAGAGATCCTGAAGCGAGAAGAGGCCAGGGAACAGGTGTAGGAGGGGGCCTACCATGGTGAGGAAGGATGGGGGCTGAGCCTTAGGAAAAGCAGTCACTGGGAAATTCTCAGTGGTCGGGAAATAAAGGAACTATATTTTCTTAGAGTGGGAGTGGCAGCGCCGGATAGTGAATATTTAGGCTTAAAAATGGTCTATAGTCGGGGCACCTGGGTGGCTCAGTCAGTTAAGCATCTGCCTTCACCTCAGGTCAGGATCTCAGTGTCCTGGGATCAAGCCCCAGGTCAGGCTCCCTGATCAGCGGGGAATCTGCTTCTCCCTCTCCCTCTGACCCTCCCCCCCGCTCATGCTCTCTATCTCATGCTCTCTCTCTCTCTCTCTCTCTCAAATGAATAAATAAAAGATCTTTTTAAAAAAATGTCTCCAGTCTACTCAACTCTGCCTTGTCAGTGCAAAAGCCGCCATAAGCTGCCTTCCCATAAAGCTTGACAAACGGTGACCTTGAATTTCATGTAACTTTCATATGTGGCCATGAAACATTATTCTTCCTTTGATGTCTTCAACCTTTTTAAACTGTGAAGGGCTTTCGCAGCCCACAGGCTCTATAAAACCCACCGCAGACCACACTGGGTTCATCTGGGGGGTGTATTTCTTGTTTTTGAGCTGCATCCTACCTAATGCAACATCTGAACCTCAAAACCAGTTCCATTCAGTTCAATCATGTGTGCTCTCTATGGGAATTTGGGGAAAGGGTCCTGCCAGACATTTCAGTGGTAGTGAAGAGAAGAGGGCAAACCTTGAGGTATAATCTGAGCAGAGGTCATGAATTCAGTGGAAACAGTAAATCAGATGAGAGGGTCTTTGGTGGCCCCTCCCCTGACTTCTTCCTTTTGGTAGCTGCCCCGCCCCTTCCTTCTCTGCTCTTTTGTACCCTGTAAGGGAGACCTGCAGTCATCCGAGGCAGCCTGGGGCTGGATGGGTAAATGCCTAATTCTGGGGTGAGTCTTAGGAACTTGATGTGACACCCAAGTGTCAATCTCCAAACCTCTATTGGGGACAAAGGTACCATGTCAAACTCTACAGCTGTATCACATAACTGACTCCAGACATGTTCAAGGGGTGTTATACGCAACGAATCATGGATCACCACATCAAAAATTAACGATGTAATGTATGGTGACTAACATAACATAATAAAATAAAATTTAAAAAAAAAAAGAAGGAAAGATCAAATGTCCAGACTGACACAGATGTTACTGGTAGACCTGGGATGATAGGGACAGAGAGCCAGAGCCAGAGATAGAGGGAGACAGGGGAAGAGAGAGAGAGAGAACAAGCCCTGTTGCCTGGTGGATCCTGGAATATCTTGCAAGTTCTACAGGCCATCTCTGACCAATCTTCCCTCCTCTCCTATGCAGCCTCTCTCATTGGCTTCTGGTCTCTTCACACACACACACACACACACACACACACACACATTCACACACATGCAGTGAGAGATGAAAAAACCAGCCACAAATTCTATGGAGGGAGGAGAGGTGTTAGACCGTGTCCCTGGGGACAGGAACAACAGGTGTGTCCTCAAAAAGACATCCTTGGGGTGATCCAGAAGCCCTGGGAGATGCCAGAGAAGAAGAGATTTTTGTCTTGTTCTACTTTTGTTAATAGCTCCACTTCTTTCTCCCCACCACATCTTTGCAATGGTTTTGCGCAAAACAAGTTCTCTACCCAAGATAGTAGGGAGAATGGAGACCCAGAGAAGCCAATGAACATCTGGGGCATCCCAAACCAAGCCATCCGCTGCCTTTCCCTGGACCCAAATCTGGTGGTTCTGGAAGAAATAAAGATTTCAAACTGGACATGCATCTCCCCATCCCCGCCATGAGCCTCTCCGGCATAAAGATAGTTTCTTATACATAATTCCAGATGGCAGCAAAGGCTGAGCTTGAGGCAGGTGTCTTGCTGAGATGGTCTCTGGCTCTGCTCTCCTTCTTATTTCTCTGCATATGCCCTGCCCTTGGATTATCCATGCTCTGACCTGAAGGGGAAACAAGGTTGAGTAGGTGTCTTCCCCAGGTGGACTTGCACTTCCACAGAACCAGGGGAGACATCCACCCCAACCCACAGTGTGATTTAGGCGAAGTGACAGGCACTGAAGGCGGGGGGGTCTCTCAGTGCCCTGGTTAATGCCCCTCCTCTGCCTGAATGTACTAGTTCTGCTGCGGAGCACCTGCGTCCAGGGGGTTGAAACACCTCTCTGAAGACATCCTCAGGGTGAGTAGGGCAGAGTTCCTTCCTTCACATGTTTGAATCCAGACTGATTCTTGAAGAAAAGCTATAAGCAAGAAAGTGAGATACAGGTAATTCTTGGTTCTTTGCTTAGTTGAGAGAGGAGGGCAATTGTAACACAGATAACACAATTCACATTTTGCAATGAAAGCCATGCTGGACTTATAAAATACTCTCCCATATTAATACTGTAATTTTCACTTTTCAAATAATAATGCCTATTACACTGAATGAGGTGGATGTCTGCCCTCTTGCTGTGGAGGACAGAAAGGCATGTGTCTAATACATAGAAGACATCATTTTCTGTCACCAGCTAGAAACGCCTCTCATATCTAATTTTTGCCAGGGGGAAAAAAAAAGAGGGCTAAAGTCAGCTCCTCCAAAAATTAATTATTTTTAATAGACATTTATCAGCTTGAAACTGCTTTTTCATGAATTTTATTTTATTTTTATGCCTGAATCAACTCACTGAACTCTCAGCATATATTTTGTAAGCAGTTGATACACAAGGAAGGGACATTGCTTGAAAATATCAAATCCATGCAAGCCTTATGAGATTTTCGTGATCAAGGTGAAAACTACATGTTTCGACCACGAAAATCTCATAAGGCTTGCATGGATTTGATACTTTCAAGCAATGTCCCTTCCTTGTGTGGTCGAGGTGAACATGTAGTTGTATGTGCTACCCAGGCTGGTACTCCTGCGTCCCCACCATAGAGAGAAGACTGGATCTTGATCAGCCTACTTTCTGTGCATTAAAGAAAATACCAATTAATCATTGAAAAAAAGAATCTTTTTAAAAAAAGATTTTATTTGTTTATTTGACAGAGAGAGAGATAACGAGAGCAGGAACACAAGCAGGGGGAGTGGGAGCGGGAGAAGTAGGCTTCCCGCCGAGCAGGGAGCCCCTTGCGGGGCTCAATGCGGGGCTCAATGTGGGGCTGGATCCCAGGACCCTGAGATCATGACCTGAGTCGAAGGCAGATGCTTAACGACTGAGCCACCCAGGTGCCCCCCCAAAAAAGAATCTTGACTCTGTCTTTAGGTATTTCCTCAGCTGCTCTGTAGACCAAGATGGGATAACCTTCTATTGGGGACAGTTTCCTTTTCCTCTAAACTGCCTCTTCACAGACATGGTTGACTTTTTTTCTTTTAAATTATATGTATTTTTCTTGTTGATTCAAGAAAGGCCTTTAATTGTGATTTTTTAAAACGATTTTATTTATTTGAGAGAGAGAGAGTACAAGCAGGGGCGAGGAGGAAGGGGGGAGGAGGGGCAGAGGGAGAGGAAGAAGCAGACTCCCGGCTGAGCAGGGAGCCTGACCCGGGGCTCCATCCCAGGACCCTGAGATCCTGACCTGAGGTGAAGGCAGATGCTTAACTGACTGAGCCACCCAGGCATCCCCTTTACTTATGATTCAAGAAAGCAAAATATCACCCACTCTCTGTTACACCTGCTAACAATCCTTTTCTGCCCCTTTCTTTTTTTCACTCAGAGTTTATAACCATTTGGTCTCCTCTTTTCTCTCAGCATTAACTCATGGAATTGCAGTAACAGCACTTCAAAACACAGGTGCTTCCAACCACTGGTGAAAGAAATGTCAACAATAGAGATGGGGGAAATTGCTCCTTTTCTCCTACAGCTACAGAGAAGAACAGCAAATACTGGTCCTACAAAGGAGTCTGTGAGCTATTCAGTGTTTGAAACTTGGAGCTCTGTCCTGTGTTTCATCTCTAAAAGTCTGTAGAATTATGTTTGTCATTCTTAATAATGTGTTTCTCTACTCATGAGATGTACATGGAAATCTAATAATTCCTAACAGATCTACATACAAGATTTCTTAGACAAATCCAAAGGAGATCCCTGATACTTCCCTCTTCTACTACAGGCATGCAGGTAATAAAATAAAACAAAATATAATAATCAAAGAGTTTGGGAATCTCATCTGGTTTAAATCACAGTGTGCTAAGTAAGATAGGACTGCCAAATGTTGTCAGAGGTCTTGCAAATATCACCCCCTGGTGTTTGTCTTAAGTTAGTTATGGTATATTTTAGCTAAGTCTGGAAATTTCAACAAATGTTTTCTTTATGGCTTCTGTCATTCTTAGAAAGACCCCCCTTACTCCCTTTATTTAAAAATGCATTACTTATGTCCACATGAAAATCTGCACACAAATATTTATAGCAGCTTTATTCTTAATTGCCAAAATGTGGGGAAAAAAGATATCTTTCAATAAATGAATAGATAAATAAACAGTGGTACATCAGATAATGGAATATTATTGAGTGTTAAAAAGAAATGAGCTCTCAAGCTATGAAAAGGCATGAAGGAAACTTAAATGCATATTTCTAAGTGAAATAAACCCATCTGAAAAGGCTATGTACTGTGTGATTCCAACTCTATGACTTTC